TGTGGCACGCAACACCCGGGCATTTTGCCCGAGAAAACGCTATAAAAAGCCGCGCACCTGTCTCACACAAACCAGACGCGACGGGGCTAGCACACTCTAGCGAGGCGGGGGGGGGGGGGGGGAGCCGAATGGCGGCCGCCGATCGGAAGGCGGCATTCACCCCCTCACAGAATGACTCCACCCTCTAAGGCGGCGGAGGGGAGAGCGCGCATCGAGGAACCCTACGTAAGAAAGTGTGCATGTGCCACCTCCCGTTTAGTCCTTGAAATGTCCGCTGGATGGCGGTGCTTCTATATGGAGAATATATGATGAAAAGATGCGAGATGGTGGTACTTGGAGTGCTGAATAGATGGACGAACAGACACACAGACAGATGCATGGATGGACGCATGAACGGACGCAGGGACGGACGCTCGAACAGACGCAGACGCACGCACGGACGGGTGGATGGACGCGTGGACGGTTACAGAGACGTACGCAGGAACGGACGGAAGCAAAAACGAATGGACGGACGAATGCTTCACCCCACTCCCCATCATTCACTCCGTGGATATGCTGCCATTTTTTTAACGCAATATCGTTGAAGAGCTCGTTTCGCGGAAATTCCGGCGTCGGTGTCGGCGTCGTTGGTTGTGAGCGAAAAATGATAACCTTATACGTCAGCCAAACATTGAAAAAGACGCAAATGAAACAATTAAACGATAAATAAATCCCGAAGTAGAGTGCTGACCGAACTATGGGGTTGTTCGGGTTTAAGAGGGAATCCAATACGGGTAGTTTGCGCGGCAAGCGGATATTCTACCACATGGCCACGCCTCTGCTTCAGAAACCAGTAAAAAGAACTTAATCTGCTTGGAAGTGCAGTGAAAGTAGCGTTCATGTTTCAGAAACACACGCGTCCTGACTACGCGCTTCACAAATCAACATGAAATATTGCAGTGGTAATGCGTGGTACAAGCGTCCATTGCCAACGCGCGCCGAATATGCGATTTTCGTAATGGCTCCGCAGTTGAAAGCCGGTACCCCACTACAAAAGGCACACACGCTATACTGCGTCTATTTTCTTAAGGGGGAAGGAAAAGAAAAGAAAAGAAAAGTGAGCCCCGCAACTGTCTGCATCAGGGTGCAACACCTCAACAGTAGCACAAGATGGATGGGGGTGAGGAGGGATTAAAAGGATAAGAATAAAGGTGTAGAGAGAGAGAAAGAGAGATGCACTAAGCCAGCGAGCGAGTACATATCGAGGGGATAGGAGAGATAGGAAGGATGGAAACATGGTCACAGGAGTCCGAGGACAGGGCACCACTTGCGAGAGCTCTTGTCGGCGTCAGGAGATGGCGTAGAGCAAGTCCAGTCGGCCAGAGCTACGCTGACGTCAGAGATCGCGAGGGCACAACCGGTCGGCACGGTGCCCTCTTAAGTCTCGGCACGGAGTCCCTCTTAAGGCCACGTATAGTGGGTGCATAGTAAATTTGAAAAGGTTTATGCACTAAGTGTTTGAAAAACACACTAGCTACAGGATATCACTATCGCGTTCAATTCATAAATGCGAAGTTTTAGGGTCTCCTAATTTTTTTTTATATGAAGAGCAGCACTGCGGTCAAGGCAACAAGATCTGCAGAATAAATAATTAATTATCCTCGATTCAGTTACAACACATGTTGGCACCAAAACATCCTTTTCAAAAGTACAAAAACATTTCTAGAAAAAAATTCAGATTGTGAAAATCAGAAGACTGTGATTTTGCAGCGATGCCTTTTTATGAACCTATAATCCTTCCGACGCTCTTAGAGCTAATTAGTGGTCAAAGTCATTATCGCTGACACCAAGCGTTACCAATGAGATCATCCATTATCAACTTTATAGATGCGATGTATAAGTCATGAACGGTGATTGATAGGTCTGACAATGACCTTATCGTAAGAGAATCGCTGCAAAATGAGGGAGTTTATGAGCCTAATTTTGGCATTATCAGTGTGTTTATCGACGACGTTAACGTATGTATGAAAAGGGTGGCGACCTATGTTTCTTATTAGTATGATACACAGTCGAGCATCGCGTTTCTGGGCAGACTGATGAGCAGTATCACCAGGAACACCAAATTTGTTTTTTTTAAAGCAAAGTACACTCGTGATACGTTGTCTCAAATCAGGCATGCTAGCAAAACAAAACAGGCTTTCTGTTCGATATTCAACCTCGCTGAGAACGCTGTTGAGGCAGGGTGGCAGAACATGTGTGTTCAGTCAATGTGATGTCGCAAGAGCGATTTCAATGTACCCATTGATGTTGCTTGAAGAGAGTGAGCACTGAGATATGCGTGTTTTGGTGCGACTTGTGAGTGGCACAATGATGGGGACGTTGGAGTACGGGCAAGTTTTACATTTCCATTAATTCGTCTAGTCATCGCTACGCGTGGCTCAGCCGCAACCACGGAGAGGTGGCAACCAAATTTCAACTTACCCAGAAAAGATTCCATTCATCAGGAATAACCAATTTAATACAGAAATATAACATTACTTGAACGATGCAACTTATCATCATCATCATCATCGTCATCATCATCCTGATTACGTCCACTGCAGGACAAAGGCCTCTCCTATGTTCCGCCAGTCAACTCGGTCTTGTTCTTGCTGCTGCCATTTTATACCCGAAAACTTCTTAATCTCATCTGCCCACCTAACTTTCTGTCTCCCCATAGGCCGCTTGCCTTCTCTGGGGATCCAGTTAGTTACCCTTAATGACCAGCTTTTATTCCACCTAAGCGCTACATGCCCGGCCCATGTCCATTTATTCTTCTTGATTTCAACTATTATATCCTGAACCCCGGTTTGTTTCTTGATCCACTCTGCTCTCTTCTTGTCTCTCAAGGTTACACCTATCATTTTCTTTTCCATCAGTCACTGCGTCGTCCTCAATATAAGCTGAACCCTCTTTGTAAGTCTCCACGTTTCTGCTCCGTAGCTAAGTACCGGCAAGATGCAGCTGTTAGATACCTTCCTTTTGAGGGAAGGAGGCAATCTACCAGTCAATTTGAGAGTGCTTGCCGAATATGCTCCACCCCTCTCTTATTCTTCTAGTTACTTGAATCTCGTGGTTCGGCTCCGTGGTTATTACCTGTCCTAAGTAGACGTAGTGTTTTACAACTTCAAGTGCAGTATTACCTATCACGAAGCGCTGTTCTCTTCCGAGGTTGTTGTACACTACTTTCGTTTTCTGAAGAATTTTTTCAAGACCTACCTTTCGATGCAACTTGTACAGGTTAAAAAAAAGGAAGTACCACTTCTCGATGCTGAAACGTCCCCACCTTCCAAACGCCTGAAGCTTGACGGTACGCCTTGTGCATTCTTAGGCAACAAAACTGCATACACCGTTTCTTTTTCGCAGTCTCAGGATGAAGGATTAACATCGTAATTAGAAATATCTGTGCAGAACAGTGGCGTAGTCAGACATTTCTTTTTTTGAGCGGGAGGGGGCTTCTTGAAGTGGTCATTTTCGCATTGTATGCCATGGCAAAGAAAAACAACATAGTGTTGGGTTGGGGGCAGGGGCCAATTGTGCCACCCCCTTGCTACGCCACTGGTACAGATGTCTGTCTGGTTGGATAGGTAAACTGGGAAAACTATTTTAACTTCAACCAAGAGAGGAGAAAAAGAAGGACCGGGAGGCCAGCCAGTTCTCAGACCGGCTGGCTACCCTGAAAGTAAAGTACGTGAAAACACGGCCCAAAACATCATTCGTTCTCTCGGAACTCTTCCCCCGGTGTATGAACGCGGACTACGCTCTGCGCCAAAACAAGGTGGTCATTAAGCGCCCGGCGAGCGTCTTCAAGACACTGCTGTAACGTTGCCACAGCACCCCCCCCCCCCCCCGGGAACCCAGTCGGTTCCGAAACGTGGGGTTCTTTCAGGCATTTTCACGTACTTTACTTTGATTAGAGTTAAAATATTTTTCCCAGAACATGTCAATTATGTTCTTCCCGGTGCACTGTTGGTCCAGAGCTTATCAATAATGTGTACAAACTCGTTTCGAAAAGACATCGAGCTAATAGCACAATCGCGGTCGTAACACCTCATGTAGTTTCACGACCACCATTTGTACGCTATGACAGACTCTCGCAGTCCTTTTCAGGAGCTCTTCCGCTTTCCATTTGATGTATATTATGACATTTACCACTTCAGCTGAGGCCCAGTCATCGTCAGTGAAAGATGACTCCTTGTGTCGCGACAGACATTTTGTATGATTCTGCCTAAGTGACCTCCGCGAGTCATAGTTTGCACTGCGAGTATATAAAAAAAGGTAGTACGACGTTCGTGTGTTGCTATGAAGAATGAAGAGAATGACTTTTGTATACAGACCTTTGCGTTCTGAAACTCTAAGGTACAGGTTGGCAGTTTTCATCACGCTCAATATTTGCATACAGACTAATGATTGAGCAATATAACCAAGTGATTTATAACAAAGTACTCGGAACACATCAAAACACTTCGTCTGACAGTGCGAGTCGCTGTTGTGCACGCCCATAAAATTTTCTTCCTTGTTTTTTTTTGTTTGCTTTGTTCGCTGGGTGTTTCTTAGTATCGTTGCTATTTTTTATAACTTTAGCACTGTTTGGCAGTCTTCAGTACTTTACGCTTCGATGTTCTTGTGTGCGCTTATGCTATGTGCATTTTAAGTGTGTGTGTGTTTTCCTTTTACGTGACCATTGCACCGCTCGTTTTGTAGCAATTCATACTATTTGCTATATGTTTCTTTTGAAAATCTTAGTATTCTTCGCCGTTTACTTATATTTATTCATTAGCAGAACGATATTGTTGTGTACTCTTCTGGCACTCGTGTATTTGCTTTCTTTGGTTGTTTTCTTAGTTTGTGATGCTCCCCTTACTCAATGCTCCCAGTGTGGTCTGTAAGGTAGTTTAAAATAAACAAATAAATAAAAGTATCACACCGCGATTTTTCCTGTATATCTGTGATATAAGAAGTCATTCATTCCACCTATCATATTTTTTGTGCAAAACTTTAATTGTAAAGGCTTTGACCACGTCTGGTAGCTAAGTGAACACTCTAGTTACAATTCAATAACAGCCCCCTTCCCGTTACAATGAGCTGAATAAGCCAACATGAGCACTTATGTGATTCAATCAATCAGGCTGACAAGCAAGCGCATTGCGTTCTTGCACTGGCACGCTATTAACATTTTTAATATTGCCACCTCACATATATAGGATCAGAACATCTGAAAGCAACGAGCTAAACCGAACAGCGCTCTTAAAGGGTCCCTAAGCAACCCCTGAAAACACAAAGAACGTTCGGGTTATTCTTTTCTGGCGTTTCACGTTTTTTCGACACACACTATGACACCAGCAGCGTCCTCCAGTTAGGTCATGAGGAAATAAGCTCTCACCGATCTATATACAAGGTATGTCAATTGTCAATTGTCACCTACCGTGATTTTCCACGCACTCGCATGCCACTTCTGCCTTGTCTCGCATGACTACTAAGCATGAGTAACTGTATAAACTTCCTTTTGTGCTTCGTCGACTGTATAAGTGGGTGCAACAACGTGTAGCCGGTAATCGTGAATTCATAACATATCGGACACTTTCTCCTGATATTGTCCACGGGTTTCATGAAGAATTAAGGGGTGAGGGGGAGATAGCGACATTACTGAGGGCAGTAAATGTGAGAAAACTTTCCAGCCCTTGAACTCCAAATTTTTTAGTGGCCCCTTAGGCCGTTTATCCTACATGAAACCACTTCACGGACCCCGACGCATTCGAAACAACATCCGAAAAGCATACATTCTGTCCAGACTGGGGCACCTCAGGTGATTAAAAAAGCGCAAGTCTATAGACAGTTCCAATGAGCTAACGAGTGCTCAGTGATCACTGGCGATGATCGTTGACCTACAGGAGAAGGTCAATGTCCTTCCGGATCATCTTTAGTAGTACTGGCTCGACCTTCTGGATGTCGTAGCCGCTGTCGACGAAAATGGCACCCATGACCGACTTGAAGAACTTGTAGACAAAGCTGCGCTTCTTCTTCGCGTACTTTAGATCTGACAGATTCTGCGCACAAAAGAAATACAAATACAAAACTTTGTAAGAGAGATGAACTGTGAACGTAAACACATCGATCGAGTGAAGCATCAGTTGGAATGACTATGTAAAAATATTGCAAAAGCGTGCCAGACATTCTGTCACCAATAACTGCACGTTGGCAAACGATATAGCACTTAGTTGGTTTCATTTCTTTGAGGTTCAGTGATACTTATATAATATGATAATATTGCTACCTGTAGGCTGCCACAAACCATAGTGCGAATGCGCGTGTGCGCCCGACGAAGAAGATGAGGCTCGCTGGCTGCTCGAGCTCGGAGCCAGACTGGCCAGTGCTGCAACCGCTCTTGCAAATATATTTTTCGAATATATTCGCAATACTTTGTCTCGTTACTCACGTAACATATTTGGTGGAGGTGGAACGATCCCCGTCCTCACCACGCAGCTCCGCAGTGGCCGCATCCTCCAGCTTCCCGCCATGGCTTCCAGTGACAACGCGTCCGCTTCATCATCTGCGGCTTCTCCGACAACCTTTGTCGCCGTCCAAACACCACGTGATCCCGGGACATTTTCTGCGCAACCTGGCCTCGACGTCGACAAATGGCTTCGCCTTTATGAACGGGTCAGTCAAACTCACCGTTGGGACCCTACCATGATGCTCGCTAATGTTCTCTTCTACTTGGACGGAACCCCGCGTGTCTGGTACGAGACAAATGAGTCCGAACTCACCAGCTGGGACACGTTCAAGGAGAAGCTACGTGACATCTTTGGGGACCCGACCGGTCGCCACGCAGCTGCACGACAGGAGCTGGCTACCCGTGTCCAGTCGCCAACTGAATCGTATGTGTCATACATCCAAGAAGTTCTCGCTCTTTGCCGAAAAGTGGACGAGGCGATGTCTGAGGCTGAAAAGGTTGGACACGTTTTGAAGGGGATCGCGGACGACGCCTTCAATTTGCTGGTGTACACTAACGTCTCCACCATCGACCGTGTAATTCAGGAATGCCGCCGTTTCGAAACAGCAAAAAGCCGTCGGGTGCGCCCTCCTTTTTCTCGGTTGCCAAACACGGCGGCTACGTCCACCTGCTCCGATTCTACCGTCACACCGCCCTTTGAGCAGAGTGTAACGCGTATCGTTCGACGGGAACTTGAAGCAGCAAGTCCAGCGCCGCTTCAGCCCACTTCTTTCGAACATACGATACCGACAACCCCCGCGATCTCCGTTATTCAGGCGGTCGTACGACAAGAATTCGCCAACCGCGGGTTCCCTGATGCTTGCCCCATCTCTTGCCCCTCCTCCAGACCAATTCCCATTAATGCACCTCGACGTGACCCATTTGTTGCTCCACGATCTCGCAACCCGGCGCAATGGCGAACTCCTGACGACAAACCGATCTGCTTCCGGTGCCACCGCGTAGGACATGTCTCCCGCTACTGCCGTGCCTCCTGGACGCCGCCACATAGGAGCCAGTTTTTCGCACCTTATAGCCCATATGAAGATCTTCGCCGGTATTCGTCCAGCCGTACCGCCCCTGCTTTCGACACGTCTAACAGCCGCCTTCCTGCTCGTTCTCCGTCCCCTCAACGCCGTCGTTCCCCGTCGCCCCAGCCACGCCGCCATCACTCGCCGCCTAACTTTTCATCGTACCCGACGGAAAACTAGACAGTGCAGCCCCTGGAGGTAGTGCTGCATCATCCCTGTCTGAACCAAACCCTCCATTGACGCTTCATACGAACAAAAATCTTGTCGATGTACACGTGGACGGTATTTCTCTGTCGGCACTAGTCGATACTGGCGCTCATGTGTCCATAATCAGCGTTCATCTTTGTCGCCGCTTAAGAAAAGTACTCACGCCCCCTGCTACCGAAGCTGTACGTGTGGCCGATGGCGGCACTGTTCCTGTCATTGGCATGTGTACGGCTCGCATACGCATCGCCGACCGTTACATCCCTGTTCTATTCACGGTGCTCCAGAACTGTCCTCATGACCTCATCTTAGGGATGGACTTCCTGTCGACCCATTCTGCTCTGATCGACTGTTCCGCTGGTACTCTTTGCTTAGACCTTCCTCTTCAGCCGGATATTCACCCTGAACCTCAACACGGCCTTTCTGCCACAGACTTCCTCCGCTTACCGCCTAAAGCCCTCACATTCACCGAATTCGCCACGACCTCACCCGTATTGGATGGGAACTACATCGTCACGCCGATTCCTGATGTCCTACTGGCACGTGACGTCACCGTCCCTCACTGCATCGTAACTGTAGCCTCCAACCGGACCCGTCTACCCGTCATAAATTTCGGCTTCACAAAGCAAGTCCTCCCTGAAGGCATCCTAATTGCCACGTTGCGGTCCTTAGCCGATGATCACGTCACCACTTTCGCAGCCGACGCATGCCCCAATTTTCCTTGTCGCCCACTCGATGCCACATGCCTCGACATGTCAATACGTCCCATGATCGACCCTGACCTTCCCCCAGCGCAATCAGCCGCTCTCGCACGCCTTCTAGCTTCCTACCGTGACATCTTCGACCTTGACGACCGCCCACTCGGCCAAACTTCTCTTGTAAAGCACCGCATCAACACCGGTGATGCTGCTCCCATTCACCGTCGACCGTATCGCGTGTCCGCGTCGGAGCGCCAGATTATTCAAGCTGAAGTGAATAAGATGTTAACTAAAGGCATTATTGAGCCCTCATCAAGCCCATGGGCGTCACCCGTCGTCCTGGTTAAAAAGAAGGACAACACATGGCGTTTTTGCATCGATTACCGGCATTTAAATCGAATCACCAAAAGGACGTGTATCCTTTACCACGTATTGATGACGCCCTCGATTGTCTCCACGGCGCACGCTACTTTTCATCCATCGACCTTCGTTCTGGTTATTGGCAGATTGCCGTAGACGAGAAAGACCAAGAAAAGACCGCCTTCATCACTCCAGATGGCCTATACCAATTCAAGGTTATGCCCTTCGGCCTATGCAATGCCCCCGCCACGTTCGAACGTATGATGGACTCTCTGCTACACGGGTTCAAATGGTCAACATGCCTGTGTTACCTAGACGACGTCCTCGTATTTGCACCTACGTTTGAGACCCACCTTGAGCGTCTGTCGGCCATTCTCGACGTCTTCCGCAAAGCTGGCCTCCAGTTGAACTCCTCGAAGTGTCACTTCGGCCGCCGACAGATTACCGTGCTGGGCCACCTTGTCGATGCTTCTGGTGTGAGACCGGACCCTGAGAAAATTCGTGCCGTCACGAATTTCCCAGTACCCCAATCCGCCAAAGATGTCCGGAGCTTTGTGGGACTTTGCTCCTACTTTAGGCGGTTCGTGAAAGATTTTGCGGCAATCGCCCAACCACTTACCGATCTTTTGAAGAAAGGCGTTCCATTTTCGTGGGGGTCCACTCAAGCTGCCGCCTTCTCTCACCTCATAACACTTTTGACGACGCCCCCTATCCTCGCCCACTTTGACCCATCTGCCCGAACTGAGGTCCGAACTGATGCCAGTGGTCACGGTATCGGAGCCGTTCTCGCCCAATGCCAACAGGGACACGACCGCGTTATCGCGTATGCTAGCCGCCTCCTTACACCTGCAGAGCGTAACTATTCGATCACAGAGCGAGAATGCCTTGCTCTTGTCTGGGCGGTCTCAAAATTCCGTCCATATTTATATGGCACTCACTTTTCCGTCGTCACCGACCACCACGCGCTCTGCTGGCTTTCATCCTTAAGAGATCCTACAGGTCGACTTGGTCGCTGGGCTCTGCGACTGCAAGAATACACCTTTTCTGTGATATACAAGTCTGGACGCCTGCACCAGGACGCCGATTGCCTTTCTCGCTATCCAGTTGACCCATCGGCCACCATACCTGACAACGACGCCTGCGTGTGCTCCGTTTCTCAACTGAACCACATAGCCGACGAGCAACGCCGTGATGCAGCCCTACGAGCTATCATTGAGCGCCTCGACTCCTCCCCATCGAACCGATCCTATCGCTCGTTCGTACTCCAGAATGGCACATTATACCGGCATAACTTCCATCCAGACGGCCCATCTCTGCTGCTTGCCATACCCAAACACCTCCGCTTGGCTGTACTCCACGAACTTCATGACGTTCCTACTGCCGGTCACCTGGGTGTGTCCCGCACATACGACCGGATTCGCCGTCGCTTCTATTGGCCAGGTCTGGCACGGTCCGTCAGAAGATACGTCGCGGCGTGTGAGGAATGTCAGCGCCGCAAAACACCATCGACGCTTCCGGCTGGGCGCCTTCAACCACTCGATATTTCTACTGAACCTTTCTTTCGCGTCGGCTTGGACTTACTCGGCCCTTTTCCTCTGTCTTCTGCTGGCAACAGGTGGATAGCTGTGGCCACAGACTACGCCACACGCTACGCAATCACACGCGCCCTTCCAACAAGTTGCGCCACTGACGTCGCCGATTTTCTTCTACACGACGTGATCTTGCAACATGGTGCTCCACGCCAGCTGCTCACGGACCGAGGCCGCACATTTCTATCGAAAGTCATAGCGGACATTCTACGCTCTTGTGCAACACGCCACAAGCTCACTACGTCGTACCATCCGCAAACAAATGGCCTCACAGAACGCCTGAACCGAACCCTAACTGACATGCTTGCAAAGTACGTTTCCTCAGATCACTCTGACTGGGACATCGCTTTACCATACGTGACATTTGCCTACAATTCTTCGCGCCACGACACGGCTGGTTACTCCCCTTTTTTCTTGCTGTTCGGCCGCGAACCCACATTACCCCTCGATACGACGATTCCGTTACCAGCAGCTCCAACTTCACAATATGCTCTGGACGCCATCAGCCGGGCCGCCCACGCACGCGAAACCGCTCGTGCTCGCCTTCTGACCTCCCAAGCAAACCAACGGCGTCGGTACGACCAACGACACCGCGATGTGCACTTTTCGCCCGGTTCGTTGGTTCTGCTGTGGTCTCCGACCAGGCACGTTGGCCTGTCTGACAAGCTGCTCTCTCGGTACACAGGGCCCTACAGAGTGCTTCGTGAGGTGACTCCCGTCACTTATGAAATCACTCCTGCTGCCTCGCCGTCTTCATCCACCCCTAGGGCCAGCGACATCGTACACGTCGCACGCCTGAAGCAGTACCACTCGCCCAATGATCTTGACATCTAGATGCGCCGAGACGGCGCCTTTGCCGACGGGGGTTATATGCTACTTGTAGGCTGCCACAAACCATAGTGCGAATGCGCGTGTGCGCCCGACGAAGAAGATGAGGCTCGCTGGCTGCTCGAGCTCGGAGCCAGACTGGCCAGTGCTGCAACCGCTCTTGCAAATATATTTTTCGAATATATTCGCAATACTTTGTCTCGTTACTCACGTAACAATATTATAATAATATGCGGAGTTTGGCTTCCCCAAACCACCATATGATTATGAGAGATGCCGTAGTGGAGGGCTCCGGAAATTTCGACCACCTGGGGTTCTTTAACGTGCATCCAAATATGAGCACACGGGCCTACGGCATTTTCGCTTCCATCCAAAATGCGGCAGCCACAGCCGGTATTCGATCCCACGACCTGCGGGTCAGCAGCCGAGTACCTTAGCCAGTAGACCACCATGGCAGGGTGTCTAATACACCGTATATTTCTCTTTTTGGGCTTCACTCATGCGGCTATAGCATCATGGCACGTAATCTATCTTGTAGTGCCAGTAACTTTTCACTTACGCCTATTTTGCTGCGCTTGAATGGTTCGTGATGCTAATCCTACCTTATTGTTACATTTGAGTTCTTACATTGTATACTTCCGTATCTGACAGCCCCTTACACAAAGACTCTTCGATGCCTCTAAGCATTTCGTAACAAACAAACAAAACAAACAAACAAACAAACAAACAAACACTGAGCTCTTCCTAAGTAAATATCAGCTATATCCTGCTCTAAGTTTGTTGCTAACGGAGTTGCCAAGGCGTACTTGAATGTTGCGAAGACCGTCGGCGAACTCCCTCAGCGATGCCTTTTCGACTGGCCGGTCGACGAAGACGTACTTGTGGAAGTCGTTCTTGACGGCGAAGTAGGCCAGCGAGTCTTGGCGTAGCACGGACGCCTTCACCTCAGCCATGTGATGCTGGGACTTGTTGCGAGCGTGCATCAGCACATACCTTGTACAAGAACACACAAAGAAAAAAAATCAGTTTCAACACAAGAGCGAAGCCATGAATGCGATAGTAACAAATTGTAGTAGTATAAGAAGCAAGGCTGGCAACTAACTCCTTTGGATCCGACATCGCGTAACTCTAGAAACGTTGGTTTAGAACAGAATACGGCCGCGCCAGAAACAGATGCTCTGTGAGCACACTGTCTACGCGTAGAAAAGGCAGCACGTATAAAAAGGTATACAGAGCCGACCGATGATGCCAGTTGAGACAACGCGCAAGCCATCAATGGTGACCACATCGTCAGAATTGAAGTTCACAGTTGCTGCTCAAGCGAGACTCGACCGCCTTTCTGTGTTCCAGACGCTCGCTGAAAGGGCCCTCCAACACTGTTGAAACAGCCATTTTTTATTTATGTTCCACGTATAATGGTCGCTGAGGATAATTCTAGCATAGGTGTAAGTGCCGATATGGGAATGATTTAGTAGTTGAATCACGACATAAATTCACAACATCGCTTCCAACTGCATCAGCACGTAGTGGCGCTCACCAGAATAGCTGCGGGCGGAAACGAAGAAGAGCGGCTGCAATGCTGTGATTGAATAAATGTGACGTTAGAAAAGATCGGGACGTGCCATCAGATCTCCGATTACTAATGCATTTTATTTTTTATTTTTTTTCATTGAACCACAGACGGACGCGTGGCCGCAACAGAAAGCATCATGACGGCTACGAATAGCGACAAAAATGCTGTCTGCCATTTCGAAGCTAGATTTTTCGCTTGCAAGGATCGGATGTCCATACAAAAGGCTTCTCTATTTCTTCCATCTTCTTGCTTCCGTGCGTCTGCGAGCTGCCTTTTTACGCACGTGCGGTAGGCTCTCGATTGTAGTTGAAGGAATGCAATGCACCCTTTTAGTTTGTCGGGCGGTTCACCGAACAACTCGTGAAGGGTCAACAATACTTCACCACCCCGATTAATTCATTTGTAGGGTTTAACGTCCCAAAACCACGATATGGTTCTTCCTTCTCAGAATGAGAGAAGGGAGTGACGTATAATGCTTAACGAACATAAACACCTCGCTTAGAAACAATAGCGCCGCTTACGCCTTGACAAGTCAGGTCTCAGGCACCACGTTTGTTACTGTAGAAACGAGGTCAACATTACATCGGAGAGGACAAAGAATAATGAAAGCTGGAAGCTCTCCCTACATAAAAGCTTCCAGCTCATTTCATTGAGGGAGCCGTTCTACGTCCTCGCGCATGTCAGGACGAGGGAAATGTGATCAGGTGACCACGCGAGAACCAAGTTGAGGGCAGGCATTTTTGTTTTGTTTGATCTGTGCTTCAATTACATTAATTCCTCCATTTACGCACGTTTACCCACAGGTTGAACATACGACGCGTGAGGTTATGTTATCAATTAGTGCTTTATGTGGAACATGATAAGCGACAGCAACGACGACGCCAACAGTGAAAACACGCCCAGAGTGGCCATACAAAAGTATTCACAATAAAAACACCGTAGCTACACATACGAATAAGTTAGAGAAAATGGTTATTAAGAGAGCAAACAATGCTAATTAGTAGCGATCGGGCATGCAGAGCGCGAACTAAAACGCGTGACTCTTCAAGACAGCTGTGGTGACACATACGTAAGTCATTCAGTGATTGCTGAAGCCAACCGGTGAGTGACCTTCTTCAGAGACTTGATAACTTATTGACAACAATAGTCGTGGTCCAAGTTTTGGTCTAAGACAACATTCGGATAACCGTACAATGGGGTCTGCCTATATTTGAGGCACAGAGCGCCTTCAGTTATTAGTGAGGCTAAAGACGAAAAGGAATTCTATTACGAATGATAAAATCATCCGACTATTTTTCTTTATTTTTTTTGGTGCGAATGCATTTATTACTATAAGTCTCACTAGCCTCCGAAGTATTGCACCCGATGTATGAAACGGAGCATAGGTCGCATTAGGACTAGGAGTCACTGGCGTAGCACGGAATGAGCAGATAGTTGAGAAGGGGGGGGGGGGGGGAGGGGTTGAGGCATGTTAAACACACGCACAAACATGCATGAAAAGTAAATAAGCCCCTCCACTTAGCATCTCCCTCCTTCCACCATCCCCACACAAATTAAAATCAAAATATGGCTACGAACGTGCTAGAAATCTTTGATTACAGGCAGTGGGTGCGCATGGGTGGGTTTCAAAGTGTGACACGTACCGGTGTATAAATATCTTTCCTGGGTAGTAGAGTACTGCAGTGTGCTTTCATCGATCGTCTGATCTTTTTTTTTCTAAATTCATGTCTGAACCGTGATGTACATGATGGAAGCTCATATTTGGCTTAGTTTTACTTTAAAAAGGTGTGCGTGGTGTTTGCTTTGTTACCATGCGTTCAAGTAGTATTGCTATGCACGAGGATCCCGCTTCATATTTACTTTTCCACACAAACACACACACACACACACACACACACACACACACACACACACACACACACACACACACACACACACACACGCACACGCACACGCACACGCACACGCACACGCACACGCACACGCACACACACACACACACACACACACACACACACAGAGAGAGAGAGAGAGAAAACAGTGTCGTATATTCTGTCACTTATTAGCCAATCCCCTGAAGTACTTCGCAAAAACAAATGTCTGTGAGAATGAAATGATAGACTGTTCCTTGGACTCATCTGAGAGCTTTTTTAGCTGATCTGTTTATATCAAGCATGCTTGCTGCGAAGATTCGTGCAAATGAGGAGGAACCAAGTTGTTCGAGCTGGCTTCTAATGTCGTCAGCAAGTTGTCACGTCTAGATAGCGGTAAACTCCTGTGCTTTGTTCACATACCATTTGTATGATTAATACTATACCACCGTGATCTTGCCAGAAAGAAACAAGCCAACGGTCCCCTATACCTCCCCTGGGCCACTGTCTATGCCAGCATGGAAAATGAAGAATGAAGCAAAAGAAACGTATTAGCGTAATGCCACGAGTGTTCATTGTTTCCTCGTTATGTGTGTGACACCGTAAGGACTGTAAGCAACGCTCGGTGCAGAACACGCCGCAATGTTTTAGAAGTTTCGCGATTGTTTGAGCTCATTCTTAAAATTAAAATTACGTGCAGGACGTGTATAGTCAAGCTCATTCGAGAGCTTTCCCGAGCACTAGTGATAAGGCTCTGGAGTACGAACCCACGTGTATAAATGCCTACGTGTATAAATGCCCACGTGTATAAATGCCAAGGCACCTTACCGCCAATCGACAGCCCGATGCTTACACCGTTATCAGTGTGCAGCATGCATCGCTTGTAGTGTGTCTCTTCATTTCCCTGACACGGGTTCATCCAAATAAAGCGTTTCGTCCTAAACACGCCCACTGCTGCCTCCATCAACGTCACGACCCTGAGGCGATTCCTAATACAAGTAATAATTATTGGGGTTTAACGTCAAAAACCACCTTATGATTACGAGAGACGCCATAGTAAACAGCTACAGAACTTTCGACCACCTGGGGTTCTTTACCGTGCATCTAAACCTGAGGACACGAGCATCAAACATGCGGCCGCGGCGGCCGGGATTCGATCCTGCGATCTTCGGGTCAGCAGTCGAGTGCCTTAGCCACTAGACCACCGCGGCGGGTCCTGGTCCGTTCACTGACCTGGACACGATGTAGTCCATGACGAAAGATCCGATATAGTCGAGCGGTTCGAAGGAGTCGTGGCGGTTCTTGCGATCTCGCGTCTTGTAGGTCGGATGTAGCAGAGCCTTGAGAAATATGCTAGGGTTCTGGAAGTGATAGTCTCCCAAGTGGTCGCGCAGGAAGTCCTGCGGAACCCGCAACGACAGCGCCTGCTTCAGGTCAGGTGCCACCTGAAGGTGCTCCAGGCCCACCGCGGCACCGCCCAAAGATCCCTGCGGCGCGCCGTTGCTGCTCCCTGTAACCAAAATGAGTTGGAAATAGTTTAACAAAACCTATAATACTGGACAACATGCTGGGTACTGAAACATGCCGAAGAAGAGCCAGTCAGAAAGCCGACATATTCAGGAAAGCTGATATCATGTACCTGTGCCACGTCGGCATTTAAAATGAAAGTGACATCGTAATATTCAAAATTTATTTCCATTTGCGCTGCTCCGCTGGAACAAATCAAATGGCATTAGCCTAAATGCCATTTGGCGCCTAATGCTTTTGCTAAAACTCTCCAGGGTGATCACAAAGAAAGGGCAGCGCAAAAACTCGGGAAAAAGAAGCACCTTGATTAGTTTTTTGTGCTGCCCTTTCTGTTGAGCACTATGAACCAACTAGCCCAAACCAAAGTACTTCTCCCGGGTGAGCGATTCTTACTCTGTACTATAAAACGACAGTGCAAACAAAAGATTTGAAATGGAATGTATAAAAAGAAAAAATTACGGTACCTTCAAGCTTCGCTTTTAGGAGTTGAATGCGATAACGATACTCTGTTCCTAGTGCGTACTTGAAACAATAAGTGCATGAAACCTTCCCGAACTTGCTATGCACCTCGTACGTGGCTTTAAGGGAACAGGCGCAGTAGAGTGTGTGCCTTTTGTAGTGCATGACTGGTTTGAAAGCACGAAGCCATTATGATACCTCACATGTTCTGACGCCCGCTGGCAATGGGCGCTTGTATCACGCATTATTACTGCAATATTTCATGTTTCACTGCAAAACACGTACACAGGACGCGTGTGTTGGTAAGACATGAAAGTTACTTTCACTGTATTTCCAAGCAGTGGAAGGTATTTTCACTGTATTCACGAGTAGGCGAGTGGCCATGAGGGAGAACATCCGCTTGCCACGCAAACAAGGTGGGTTCGATTCTCACTCGAAGCTAAATGACTTTGGTTTGGTCCCCACTGTGATGTAGAATTTTCGCATCACTCTCGATTTTTCGGTCACGCATTAGATGAATTTTTTTTGTTCGCAACCAATGACACCAACGACGGCATTTCTGCGAAACGAAATCTTTAACGTACGTAAACGTAAACGTACGTAACGTACGTAAACAGTAGCAACGCACTTGCGTGTAGCCGTGTACATTTGATGAACGCAATAGCAAGAACGCCACTGCCAGACCGAACATGTTTAGTTACAAATCTAGACAACTTACGTCCTTGCGGTGGGATTAACAACGAAAATGCCAATAAAACGGCCCCATCAGCTTTCCAAGGCGTTTAAGAAGAGGCTATACCCCTCTCAAGGCCTGATGCAGCTGCCATGCTTCGAATAATCGCAAAGAACATTTCGCACTCAACACTGAATACACCAAGAAGCCAAAACAGTTGCAAACACCATCTGAACGCGTTGCTACAATTTCAAATACCAACTGGACACCGCCAATGAAAGGCCACTATGCTATGCCGCTTGGCTAAGTGTGGCTTTCACAAAGTCATAATCGTTTCATATAGTGATGGCTGACAGCTCTCGTTGCAACAACTGCGGTGCTGAAGATCGGACACCTTGTGTCCGACAAACTTGAAGTCTCCATCCTTTTTTTTGTTCATTCCTGTTTTGTAAAAAATATTCAATACGTTCTGGAGTGTTGCGTGTTCAAACTTAATCTCATAGGCATTTTCTTGTGCATGGAGGTACGTTTGTAATTTTAAAGTCTCAGCCGATAAAAAAAAAGAAAAAGAAAGCTCGGTATGACAGTTAAAGGCAACTGTTGAACAAAAAGCTTATATTGGGGGGAAGAAAACTCACATGCGTGTTTAACTAGACCCATCGCAAGCCCAAACTCAGTATAAATGCGTAAGAGATTCATTGTACTTCCAAATAAATCAACCCGAGCTTCACCATGGCTAGGTAACGGGAAAACCGGGTATCTAAACATTACAGGAGATAAATAGGAAAATGGAGGTTCAAATACACTATAGCTATAACAATTGTTGAAAAAAAAAGTGACAATAACAGAAGGTTCAATTAAGGAATCCTAGCTACATCAGAGCACCAGCGAGTTTTTTAGCAGCGCACACGCACCCGTACTTTTGTAGCACGATTCAATTCAGATAGTGTACTGTTGAATATTATTCTTTGAAAACAATATTCGATTACTCTGCTGCCTCGCACAGAAACGAATGATTTTCTGACACATCACTTCACGCTACCATATAAAAAGAAACGTAGGCGCATGTTTTGATGTTTGCACGGCCTTTATCATTGTCCTGCCACAGCATAGCTCCACATTAGTACTAGTTTGCATAATATTTTATAATATAAAAATATTAGTGGTACATAGACCCAGCTTGGCCAAAACATGCCGGTCAAGTGAGCGATCATTCAGGTTCGAACGAAATTGTTCAATTCTAAATGAAAACTTAACTATGGCCTTCAATGTTAAAAGATATTGTAGTAAAACACTCATAGAGAATACATATATAACAATACTACGATTAGTGCCGTATCATACTACAGATGAATTTTTCACATGCAGCTGATAACGCAGAATCTTCCTGAAGAACATCAGCACTCAGTAGTCAATTCACGAAGAATGATAACATTTGGTAACTCACACTCGCGTAATCACCAAGCAGTTCGGTCTAGGAAAATGCACTCCCAGCAAACCTACTTGCAAAATATTAGGGAAAAAAAAAACATAGTGACTTCGATCGAAACGATGACTCACCGCCGACGGAGAACGGAGCCGCTGCATTCCGGCTACCCTGAACATAAAAAAGTAAATAATAAAAGCCTGTCACGTATTTTCTAAACCATAAAAATTATAAAGGATGACATATCTACGTCAGTTTATAATATTTCATAGTTCTTGTCAATGATATTTCAAGTTTCAGAGGGTCAAGAATCTTTCGTTTGGTTCTGATTTTTCCTGCATTCGTAAATAATCTACAGTAATATTTACATGTACTTGTATTTCTTTGCATGTCTTTGCCTTGTAGTTACATACTAACCACTATTGTAAAAGACGGACCCCTGCCATAGCGTTTAAAAGGGCCCTGAAGTTCTAACTCTTCAAAATGAGTGGTCATTGTATGTATAATACACGAAGAAACTTATTGATTGATTGACTGATTGATTGGTTGATTGATTGATCAAGCGATTGGTTGGGTGACAAATTTTTTTGCAACAAGTTGGAACAGAGTTAATGAAAATGATTTGATACTTCCCTATGATCAAGTGACAACATGCAGCTACAGTTATTTGCTTTTAAGCAAGTTACATCCTCATCAAATGAATCAATCAACCACCCAATCAATAAATCAATTCATAATAAATTAATAAATTAATTAATCAATCAATCAAAACCTTTTATTTTCATCATTTAGTACACAAGCCAAAAAATGGAGAACTGGAGAAAAAGTCCGAATTTCATCGACTTTCAAAGCTCCGGTCCTTCAGGCAGACATTGGTGAAGTTGTTTTTAGCACAAATGTGGTATTCCTATTATTCAAGTTGAACTTGACATAATAGATCTACTACGCAAATGCATATAAGTTATCAAGACTGGGTTCACTTGCTGTGTTCTAAAACGAAGTTCCCTTTTCTTTCTTCTTTTTTTTCTCTAGCCTCTCAGGATTAGCGACATTGTTCTTGAATTCTACAGTTTCGTATTCACTTTTAGCGTCTCTTTGAGAAGATGCTGGAGCCTATAAGCAATATAATAACTCTTGTATGACGATTATAGAGCATTAAAAATACGTTGGTGTTCGTGGCAAAAGCTATATAACAAAATAGACTCATCCTAAAGCTTACAACAAATCACCAGATCCCGAGCACATATAACAATGTTTGCCATGAACAGTGAGACGCAACAGCACATAAATATTCGAAAACAAAAAGGTTACTCCAGCATTCATTATATGAAATTCCGGGATAACTTTTTACAAAGCTTGTATTTTCAATAAGACGAAGGCATATCTCACCTGCTGTCCAGCAGCAGATGCACACGTCAACAAGAAGAGAACCTGCGCGGAAAGCATGGTTGTAACAGTTATTATGAAACAGTACTTCGATGCCCGTGCGATAGGCTTGCAGTAATCGCAAGGCCACGCACAGAATACATTCGTGTTGAATTTCGATTCAAGTCAATAAAATTCAATTTGTTCTTTTCTGGTTACGAAAGTGTCGAAAATGGAAGACGTAGACGGTCTCCCATTGCGCGCCTATAATCATTATTGGGAGTGTCGCTAAAGGGGGAGAAAGAAAGCAGGCATGTCGTCAGTCCCTGTTCTTTACAATTCGGTGCCCAAATCTGGAAATTAACCAGGAACCTTTAGGCGAAACGACGAAACTGAAGATGTAACGAAAGATTAGTAGCAAAATAAAAAAATGACAGGACAAGCACACTTGCACGCAGTTCACATACCGCTCTTAATAATACGCAAAAATACTGCGATGCATAATAAAAAAATGTAAAAATTACAATATCTGATGAAAAATGTAAATGCAGAATTACATATTCGACATATTCTTATGGCTGCACATGTCATTGAGTACGAAGTACGTTTATCAAAAACACCGCGAACCACCAATTCACGCGAGGCAACAAAATAGTGTGTGCGGAACGATACGCATCGCAATATTGAATTTGTATACTTGATACAATACAGACAAAGCACCTTGATTATCAACGAATGAAACGCGACAGCATATCCACAGAGTGGACGATGATGAGTGGGCGAAGCTCCGGAGGTACATCGGTAAACATTGAATCCCACTCGTAGCCGTTCCAGAGTTTCGAGGAGCCTTTCCCAGTATATATACTCCCACGGAAGAAAGCACGCGTGTGGTTCACCCAGCTGGCGAATCATGGCAAAGAGTTCCTTGCAGCGTTCTTGCCAGTGTTGCACCGTGTTGGGTATACGCCCCGAATGAAGGTTATGGGTCCCGGTTGAGCACTTCGTCCATGAACTCGCGTCCGCAGCTCTCGAGTTGCTGCCGCGTGAACGAGCCGGTGGTGGGAGCAAGCGCCACAGCGTTACCTAGTGAGCACTCCTAGTACTAGGGGTGGCTACGACGGACAACGGCACGCAAGCCCACATCCTAAGGAGATTCACCCTTAAATACGTAATGGGATGTGATACAGCCGTCTGATCACTTGAGGAGACTTCCATGCTGCAGTGCGAAGTCGTAGGCAAAACTGACGAAATTACGTCCATAGTTCTGGAGAAATGTTCCCGAATATCCTCAGAAATAAACAAAAATGCGTTCCGTCTTTGCTACCTCCATAATTACCTTTTTCAGTGGCAGAGACACACACAATGACTAGACGCAATAGAGATGACTATAGGCAATTAATATGGTAGTAATTGTACATAATCAAGTAACCTACTCTTTAATTAGTGATATGTGGTCAGACAAAATTGAAGAATTTGTCTCTCATGCGAATACACCACTGCCAGTTTGGCATTGTTAAGAAGCGGCCGCTGGTGTAATTTTGCGAAGTGATAGGATAAGCCCATGCAGTCGGCGGTGAAATCGAAGCTACCAAGAACATAACCCAGAACAGACGACCAGAATGGCGTCTCTGAGAACGATTGCAGCGGTGTTAGTTCTGCGTGCATTGGTTAACCCGTGTGCGCCACGTATATATGCTGTCGTTCCGAGAACATCCGGTACAGCCTGAAAGTGAAGTACAATCACGCCCAATAATAGTTGGAACACGCTGTCTGGGCGAAAAAAGGCACCAACACAGCAAATCGGCACCTCTACACAAAAAAAGGTGAATTAAACAATCTTGATTACCGGTACCTACCTAACCAACTTAACGTTCGTAATTGTTACTGTTCAGGCATGGGGTCACTTTAACCACAACCGGCGTGTTGCATTTCATACTGAGCGTGACTGTATACACCGATGACTGATTTTACAACGCTCACTTGTTCTGGGCATCTCGGAAGGGTGCGGCAATTGCGATCCTCGACGTTTCGGTTTGTGCCCACGGTGAAGCATGTCGGATTTCATCACTCCACAGTGATTAACAGCTGCCGCTTGTTCACGAATTTCAAAGTGGCAAAGGGCTCTTCGCAAGGACTTCACTTATCCACTATTCCTTTCATATGCTATACACACAAATGCCTACCCCACTTGTTCTTGCTTTGTAGGCCCGTGTGCTCAGATTTGGTCGCACTTTTAAGAACTCCAGGTGGTCGAAATTTCCGGAGCCCTCCACTATAGGCGTCTCTCATAATGGTATAGTGGTTTTGCGATGTTAAACCCCACATATCTATCTATATAACACTTGTTCTTGCTTTTGTATAACTAGGGGCTAACAAAATAGCGCGATATATCAGGCTTGCATCAATGGAAGGTCCAGCACAATAAATTCGCTTTCATTTAAACGTCAATTCGCGGTGTACTGCTGCATGCGGTCACTTTGACTCAAGGCACTACCATGTTCGACGAAACGCTCCACGTGCCGCTTAGTGAGAGCTATGTGCCAGTCTTTCTTGTTCAAAATGGACATAACCGGTAAGGAATTTGCTCTGTATTTCTAGACAGAGATTTTATACTGATTATGTCGAAACAAAGCAAAAAAGAACTTGAGAGAAAATAGATAAATAATTACAACCTGATAAGGATTATTGTTAATATAACACACATGAATTAGCCTGTAATGACATTGTTTTTTCGCAGTGGAATATTGAGCGCCTTGAAGCATCGCTTTATCAATTTCAAACGCTTACAACTAGTTCTCTATAGGCGGCGTTTGAAAGGAATATGACCTGGTCGCTTGTCTACTCTCACTGAAAAAGTTAAATTATATACCTTCCCAAGCGCATGGTATCGATTGTTAGCCAGCAAAGCTGGAACGCGCTGCCCCTATCTTTATCGCTGGGTTAATCGCGATGGTTGACAAAAGTCATCTCCACTTATAGATTACGTGCAATCAAGAATCTTAATTGGTGTTGACCACCCAAGCGTGAATCTTCATTTTTTTATTGGACCAGTGGTTAGTAGGGGAACATGGCCAATATCTATGGCACATACGTTTCAGCCCGCAGGCAACTTCTTCCCATTTCCAGGATTTGTTCACTAGACCGCGTGGCCGGCACCCTACTCGCTCGTCTCATCCGCTCAAACTAACTGAATGTGCCTACCGAACCAACATCTTCAAACAGTCTTTTTTTTCCCCCTCGTGCCATCCGTGAATGGAATGCATTGCTTGAATATGCACTGCAGAGCTTAGCAATATCGTCAATTGTCCGTGATCTTACTAATCTATGACGCAAGGTGTTTCAACATAAACGTATTCTTTTTGTTGCTGAGCTGAGCGCTCAGTAAGCAAGTGCTGTTCTGCGCATTCTTGTCACGTTTTTTTGTTTTTTTTTCATTCCTCTGTCGTTACTTTCTTTTAGCTACGGTTTGTTTCTTTTGTTCTGTTGCTCGTTATCCAAGCATTTGCTTGCCGGCACTTTCACCTGTAAAACTTTGTGTTTTTTATAATACAATGTTTTCAGTATTTCACCTGCTGTAAATACTGTTCAAGACAGATCACTTAACTTTTTTTCTTTTTTTTCCACATTGTGCATTCACAGTTTGTTACTTTTTTTTCTTTTAGCTTTTTGTACAACCCATTCCTGCTCATGACTTGCAAAGCAAGCTGGCAATAAATAAATAAATAAATAAATAAATAAATAAATAAATAAATAAATAAATAAATCAGCAGTTGACTAGTGGGCCTGATCCAACTCCTGTGGTAGACACGCTCACAAATTTCGCGTATATGCGATGGACGAATTTCGCTTTTGCTTATAGCCATATACAGTACGCTACATTATTTGTATAATTACTGCCACAATTATTGTATGTCGCAGTGCTGAGACGTTTGCCACCAGAAAAATAACAATACCAAAGCTTGCGTACAAATGCCGTAGGCACAATATTCTCGGTCGTATTTCCTTAATTATGCATCTGGTATAAGCGACCTCTCAATGAATGCAGTATAATGCAGTTTTTTCCTAACCTTTTTCTACGGCAACCTAAGCTGCCTGAAGGCTAAATGCGTAAATTTTTTGACAAAATTATCGCAAAGCATTCGATACTCCATTCCAACAAAATATTCTCCTAATAAGTTGACTTATGTATCTTTAGTAATTATTTGCAGCTTAATTGCAATGAAAACATTTGTTCATTCTGAACAAATGCCTGTCCCTGTTCTGCATAAATAAAATATAATCGCAATCTTGAGATATAACGGACAATGGTTTTGATTATGATCATTTTAGCAATAAAATACACAAATTGCACTTCTGAAGTTATTCGTGGAAGGTGACGCGTCAAAAGACTTGTGCGACATGGTGACGCCTTCAGCAAAGCTTTCGTATGTGACAGTACGCTGCAAAATGTAGTCAAGTGAAGTCATATTTATTGCGCAAGAGGTTCAGTTAATCAAAACCTCCACGCATTTTCCTTTTTCTTAGGCATTAGTCAGCACAACAAGCAAAATGATGTACACACAGTTATGTACAAAGCGTGTCAGCCAGTAAGCTTACGCAATGACGCCTAAAACTCCAGAACGACAGAGAGCGAATGAATACTTGATGAAAAACTCGTAAATCTCAAGTGCTTTCCGTTAGATGCAAAAGTTGTCTTTAGCGTCTCCATATCAACAAAAAATGTTCCTTCTTAACGAACAGTCTGAGTCGTATAACCGAGCCCCGCCGCGGTGGTCTAGTGGCTAAGGTACCCGGCTGCTGACCCGCAGGGCGCGGGTTCGAATCCCGGCTGCGGCGGCTGCATTTCCGATGGAGGCGGAATTGTTGTAGGCCCGTGTGCTCAGATTTGGGCGCACGTTAAAGAACCCCAGGTGGTCTAAATTTCCGGAGCCCTCCACTACGGCGTCTCTCATAATCATATAGTGGTTTTGGGACGTTAAACCCCACATATCAATCAATGAGTCGTATAACCGATATGAAATTATGATTGCACGCATAGCAATAATATCAATTTTTGGGGTTTACTGAGCGAACGTCCTTCATAACGCGATGCTGACACAGACGACTCGTGTCCTCAAAATCGATGAATCGGCGTACTAAAGACGCATTAAAACGCATATATAAAAAAGAACAGACACAGTTTTTTGTGCGCTGCTTTATCAATACTTTGGCTTATCAACTAGCTTATCAGTCGGCCCTGTTTCTTAAGTCAGACTATTCGCTACTCTGTTGCCTGCAACACGGTCTGGTAATACGAAGCACGTTTGCGACGCGGCAGACGGAAAATAATGTGAGCATACGGGGACACTGATAGACACTGCCTTTCGACAGTCAAGTTGTGCTTAAAAACAGAACCACTCTAAATTGCGCCGCAAGAGCACGTGTCGACAAATTAGCAAAGCACTCGGGGTGCACCTCGTCAACGCGCCGGTTGCGACGACAAGAAGCATTGCGCAACGAAGTGTAAACCACACTCACCACCAGGATCAGGTTCCAGGAAGCCGCCGCCATGTCGTCGCGATGGTTTCAAGGGCACAGCGCGTTTGAATCCGAAGTGACAGGCTTGTTGAAATCCCTCGGTAGGAGGGGACAAAGCTGCAGAAAAAAAAAGCTGATGTGAAAACAGCACCATGACAGATGCCTTGAGACTCGTGACAGGACCGTTTACTAAGCAGCAAAAAATAAAAAAAAGAAGGTAACAGTCCGTATAACAGACGCCTTGAGAAGCGAGCCACGAATGAATCGCGCATGCGCCAGAAGTGCATTCTCCGCTCACTTACGTCACCAGAGAATCTGCGACGCAAGCGGCGACGCGGGAGGCCGGGCGAGTTTCTCGCTGTAACAGGAAACACCTCCCACTTTCCTGCCTGAGGGTCAATGTAAACACCGCCCCCATTGCATCCGAAGCGCCCTCCCCCAGTTGCACGGCCTTGGTTAGCGAGAGCGAACACACGTCCCTCTTTTGCCGTTACGCGACAACTGTCATGGCACGTCCCCTTCGAGCCGTACCCGCCCGCATTAGCAGCGATTCCGAAACTATGAGTCTGCGGGCAGATGTTGGTCGACGAGCCAGCCAGTGTGCACTGCCGGGATGAAAGATTAGTCGACCGGATAACGCGCGTGTTGCCTTCGCCTTGAAGAGAGGGACGTGTTTCGGGTTGTTGAAACAGTAGCCCGTGTCAACGAAAGGGCATATACGCATAGATATGCTCTCTGCCGCCAAAGAAATCTGAAGTCGCTTCATATCGCGTCTGCATCTCTGCTTGTCAAGAAAAGGAAGCATCCCGAGACAGGCCAATCTAGAGCAGGCATATCTGGCAACGTGGACGGGTTCAGTGAGAACAGCTTGCATCGAACGAGTCGTTTCGTACTGAATTTCGTAGATATGGTGCAACCACACAGGAAATAAGGCGGTGACATGAAGGATTGCCGACCTTCAAATGAATTCATTGCAAAATATGCGACCCCTCTTATGCTGGCGAAGCAACCGTGGACATGCCGAAAAAATAGGTGAATCCTTAATCTTCGCCTTTGAGAGTTGAACGCGATATGTTTTGCTTGAAACACTTCGCGCATGAGATTTTTTTTTCCGAACTTGCTATGCACGCATTATGTGGGCTTAAATGAACAGGCGCAGTAACGTGTGTCTCTTGCGTAGGGGGAAGACCGGCTTTAATGTGTGAAGTCATTACGGTAATCACACGTTCTGACGTCCGATGGCAATGTTCGTTTGCACCTCACATTATTACTGTAATATTTCATGTCGTAGTGTGAAGCATGTATAAAGGACGTGCGAGTTTGTAAGTCGTGAAGGTTACTTTCACTCCATTTCCAAGCAAAGGAAGTAATTTTCGTCGTATTTAGACGAGGGCGCGTAGCTGCGAGGTAGAACAGCCGCTTGCCACAGAAAAGACGTGGGTTCGATCCCCACTCGGACCCAAGATTTTCCATTATTCGCATTTCTTTGCATCTTTCTCGATTTTTCGGTCACGCACAAGATGAGTCTTAGCTCACAACCAACGACGCCACGATTTCTGCGAAAAGAACTATTTTTAACGCTCGTGAATAACAAGCCTGTGGTTATGCATAACACTGTTGAACGAAGAGTGAGAACTCGCCCCGCCGCGGTGGTCTAGTGGCTAAGGTAGTCGGCTACTGACCCGCAGGTCGCGGGTTCGAATCCCGGCTGCGGCGGCTGCATTTCCGATGGAGGAGAAAATGTTGTAGGCTCGTGTGCTCAGATTTGGGTGCACGTTAAAGAACCCCAGGTGGTCTAAATTTCCGGAGCCCTCCACTACGGCGTCTCTCGTAATCATATGGTGGTTTTGGGACGTTAAACCCCACAAATCAATCAAGAGTGAGAACTCGCTATCAGGTATGTGAAGGGCTGCCGTTCCGATGCTTAAATCAGTCAATGTCTTTCCTTGAAGAAACGGCTTTTTTTCTTTTCGCTCTCTTTTCCAAAACGTTTCCCCGTAGAATAAAGGCCCCTTTCGCGTTCCATTGCAGTGCGTAGACATATCCATATGTAATTCCTACTTTCAATTGAAAGGCAGCGCTCTTTGCTGCCCCTGTTTTCCTTCCTATATTTATTCTACTGCACCAATGATATTTAAGGAATCTGTCTTTCACGCGGGAAAGTTGAAGCCTTCGAAAGATTTAGTGGCACTTCAAGCCTAAGCGGTATATGCACGCAACGAGCGAGCAGAGCAAAGAAATAACAAGACTGTATATGTGTTAAGTGACAGTGGAAGTATAGGACCTACCACAGGTACAGAAAAAAAAAGGTTGAGAATTAGCAGCGAGAAAATTACACAGGCTCGAACGAGATAGTACGTGACAGAACTTCAGTAGAAATGTGCAATCTCGGAGACTGCGACACTCAAGGCCAGACAACAGGGAATCTTTCAACAAATGTTTATCTGAACAAATATAGACTGATATAATGTACGAATGAGGCTGAGCGCGCGTCACAGGGACATCCCTACAAAATCACTTGAAACCGGCAGGAAGACACGCAAGGTATTTTGCGCATAACCCCAAAAATGGCATGCTAAGGCAATATATGCCTACATAGAAGATATATGATTCAACCTCAGTTATCTTCACAACTATCGCTTCTTTATTCTCGACTGCCTTATCACCTTCTAGCAACTGTGGCTGATATTCACGCACAGTACCGTCCGGGGCAAGAAGGCCTTCGGTTGCTCTTAGCTCGTTATGCCGATATGATCCTTGGAATGATTATTTGCGCATCTAGCAGCTTGCCTAATGTAGAATTTTCAAGCGTTTAATGAGTCCGCCTCGGTGGGTGGCTACGGTACTGACTTGGCTGCCGACCCGAAGGTCGCTTGTTCGATCCTGACCACGGCGGATCGCATTTCGACGCGGGCGAAATGCTATAGAGGCCCGTCTCCAGCGTGATTTTTCCAGCGTCTCCAGCGTATTGCTCCAGCGTATTGTTCTAGCGACAGTTGCTCCAGCGTCTCCAGCGTACAGAGGCCTGTCTCCAACGTGATGCCAGTGCGCGTTAAAGAACACAGGTCGAAGTTTCCGGAGCCATCCACTATACGGCGTCCGTCATTATCATGGTTGTTAGACGCGGAACCAGAGATATTATCATTATTTTTATTGATGACAGTTTAACAGCATTCTACAGATAGTATATGATAGACAAGCCTAATTACTGTGCCTTTTTGGGCATGTTCCGGACCACCTTATCCAGGCACACAACTGATGCACGGCCTGATAAGCTTGTTATGATCTCATCGTATTCTGTCATGTATACCTATCCAGTCGCACAAGAAAACATTCGGCTGTGAGATGTGGTTTTATACTGCGCCTCATGCTAGTGCGCTGTCATCTCTTGTTATGTTTGTCGCATAAGCACGTACGTATACAGCGTGCCACGTTGTAAGAATGGCGAATGAATAATTGCGACAGGGCGATAGCAATAACAAAGTCTGTTGTGGCGTATGCCCACGAGAACATTTGCAGCAAGTTACTGAAAAGTACATGCACGAAACACTCACTCGTTTATTCGTCGGCGTGATATACGATGGTATTGGTATATTCACATGATGACACGTAAGACAAGGACGTATAGGACGTATTGGTAGACAGATGAAACCTGTTGACGTATTTTGTGTAGCTATTAGTCATCGGAAGCAAGCTCCACTTATGAAACCATCACTGGTTTTCATATGACGTAACGATAACTCAAAAGAGATGCCAGACCGCTCGTTTAAGAGATTACTGCGATTTACAGTGGTGCTCACGTTACATCAGGTTAGATTCGGGACAGCATAGGTAGAGCTTTTTATACGAGACTCGCCCAAGCAAGCTCAAGAAGAAAACATAAATGTTAAAGGAGCCATACGGCAGGGCTTGTGATTTTTTGCCAATCTAATCATCAATAAAGAATACCAATTGCAGATATTATATATACCTATGATATATACATGGCATCATTGCGTCAAGCCGCTTCACCTATAATAATAATAATAATAATAATAATAATAATAATAATAATAATAATAATAATAATAATAATAATAATAATAATAATAATAATAATAATAATTGGGGTATTATGTCCAAAATCTACCATACTGAAACGTTCCGTATATACGGATCCGTACATACGCAATTATTGGACTACGGAAAGCCGTATGATGCGGAGTATCATGCGGAAAGATGCGGACATCCGCAGCTTACGGAAAGCGCTATATCGTAGTGGAGGACTTGGATGATCTGGTGTTCTTTAACGTGGTATGACATTACACAGTACACGGACCTCCAATATTTCACCCTCCCCCTCGAAAACGCAGCTGCCACGGTCGGTATCGAACCCGCGACCTTCGGTTCAGCAGCTGAGCCGTAAGCACTGATCCACCATGGCGGACAAGCCGATATACTTGACAGGGTTTGTAGTTGGAAGGAAGCGCTTCAAATTCCGACCGGCATAGCACATTACGGTGGCCGAGCTGACCGACACAAGAAGAGAGATCGCTAGCTTCCAACTGAGCTTTATTGGCAAACTGCATGATATATGTGCACTTGCGCAAGCATGCAAAGAACACCCGGACGTATTGCCAATGATTTAGAGGAAGTGTACATCTTCACCGACAGAGACATTGCGCCAGAACTGAAGACAGTTCAAGCCACTACGGCCCCAGAGGCTCAGAGAAAATTGGCATATCGCATACTCCCACAAACGTCAAGTCAGAAATCAAACGTCCGAGCTGCACCTTCACGCCATAAAGCGAACGTGCCAATCTCAATTGCAGGGCGTGCAAACAGCGGTGAAAGAACGAGGCAGATTGTGCGAAACAGGCCAACGACCCGTCGAGAATACGCATCGCGTTCTGTCAGAGTAACTCAGGTTTGTACGCCGAATAATGTGTGCAAGCAACACCGTCCATCTTTCCGCACGACAGATGACTTCTTGTGACGTCACGGAAACCACTGTTGGAGCATCAACATAGGGGAGGGTGGGTGTGCAGTCAAATTAACAAAGCGCCGCATGCCAGTTATTGACGCACATGCGTTCCTACCACGTCGTTATCATACCGACCCATCGTGAAGTGTCATTTAGGCTACGTTAAGGCTGCCGAAATATCTATTCATTATAACCGCGGTAAGCGAAAAATGTGATTTCGTGCACTTATGATTTAACGGCTACATTAGCTTTGAGTGCATTCATACTGCACTTGGTAACACTCATTACCGGTGCACAAAGTCACACCTGTCGGTTACCCCGTTTGGAGGGTACATTTGCATCACTATGAATAAGAGAATCGTATATAATAATTGAACGCGCACTGGCGAAGGCACGGACGCTCTTCGGCCTCCTTTTTCTTTCGGGCACAACGCGCGTAAGCAAGCTGACCGTGAAACCACTCGAGACGCGCGTGCATTGAACACGCGGCTTCTAAGACGCACGAGCAAAAAGAACGTCAAATGCGCGATGACCTAACCTTGTACGGGGCAGAACTGGGCCGCATAACGGGTACGAGACGGTGACGTCAGTAAACATCAAAACAACATAAAGTAGTACCCGGAGGAAGCAGTCACGCAGCGTTCAGAAAGCCACTCACCCTTCTCGTTGTCGGCGGCAGCTCGCTGCTTCTTCCACAGGCTGACTGAACGGTCGGCGGGCCGGCCAGAAACTGAGGCGGCTGCTGCTCGGGGGTCGGCGCCGCATGCACCACACTCCTTCCACTCCCTCCTCGCGCGTTGTGACTCGTCGGCGGCTGGTGTGCGGGATAAGATTGAGTGGTCCGAGGAATCTCGCCCGTGTGTCCTGCCCTCTCCTCGATCAGGACCGGGTCCCGGCTGCCACAGCCAGAGGGTGTGGGAGGCTACGTACGGTGATGCCACTGCGTCTTTCATGTGTCGAGCGCGCGACGTCTACGCGTCTTCTTGGAAGCACCTGCTGCTGGGAGGAGAGTAAGCGGGGCTTCGCGGGGACGTGGTAAGGAAAAACAGAGGGCTAGTTCAAGCTAACGAAGATTTCTGTAACGCGATGTAACTTTTACCGTCACGGTGCGACTCTCGTCTGCTGACGCGAGAGTTCTAGTCCAGACCACTGCCGTGACGGTTGTGTTTCGATGGAGGCGCCCTTGTACTGTGCGGTGGCAGCACGGGTTAAAGAACGTCAGATAGTCTCGATTTCCAGTGCTGTCCGATGTGGTGTGCCTCTGGTTGTATCGCGGTTCTGGCACGCAATAGCACACAAAAATTAATATTATTGCTTTACACCGAAATCACCCACCCACGTGCTTTGGCCAAGTTGTTGAGATGAAATGGTTAGCGGCCGTTACTGACGAGGGGATCCCCCGTGGTCATTCTTCAGCTGAGCCACAGTACGCGGGTTTGGTTGCCGGGGCCCGCACTTCAGTGAAGGGATGATACGCGAGAGCACTCACGTATGCGTCTGGTATAGATATGCATTCATCAAATGAGGACGACAAAAGTAATAACACATTCTCCTCACCCGACTACACCCTCATTTCCGGACCTGCACTTGATGAATGAATGAGTGATATTGTGCGACTAAGAATAAGTTGGCGATCACCAAAGTGAGGTTACTCGACCACGCTGACACGTGTAGTCATCAAGTGCGCTGACCAGCGATGAAATATGCAAAAGACTTCCGTTAGTAAGACGCCATTTATGTAATGGTTGAATCAAACTATGGCCTCCCCGGAAAAATGCGCTTCCGCCTCATACCTGTGCTTAGAACAGTTAAGTCTCCCCTGGTCTTGACCCCTTATCGCCCCATCGCTCTTTCCAACTTTTTCGGAAAAGTGAAGCAGAGGACGATTTTGACCCGCCTAGAGTGGTGCCTAGAGCACCACGAGATATGCCATGCATAATGCTATGACGGGCCTTCGGCATTGGCGATCCGCTATTGATAACTTTATCGACCTGGTCTCGTCCGTGCAACCAAAAAAGCCTGAAACGATTATCTGCAGCGTTGTTTTTGGATGTGAAAGGCGCATACGATATTGTATTGCATGAAGCCATACTGGATGTCTTGGAAAGTGTTGTATTAGGGTGTCCGGTTTACCAATAGATTGATAACTATTTGAAGGGCAGAACTTTCTTTGCACACATTGAGGACGGCACAACAACGCATCATTGGATCTGTCGTGGTGATCATGATCACCCACGTACTGAGGTTTCTTGCTGAAAAAACGTGGGGTGCATCTGTACGAGCGATGCTTCAACTGAATACACTGTTCAGTTCCTCGGCTTTATGAGGTACAGATTACCCGTGCTTTGCGGGATCCGAAGAACTAACATGCGTATCCTCCAATCGCTTCAAACGCAAGTACTGTGAATATGCATTGGTCTTCCGAAATGCGCATCTACAGCAGCGACAGTCGTCATTGTGCGTGATTGTCCAGTCAACACATACATTCGCGTAGACGCTTTGAGAATGCACCCAAGAGATTTCGCTCAGATCCCATCTCATCTCCTCGCCTCACTTCGAACTTCTAAGCCCCACTCAGCGTTCAGCGCAACTGTAGATAAGCATTGCGCAATGGTTCCACCGCACTTCACGTATGCAGCACGGCCACCGTTACCACTGTGGTGCCTGAAAGCTTCTCGTGCCACCCAAAAAAAAAAAAGAAACAGTGATCGCATCTAGCCCTGAAACAGGCCACACGACTGTTCCTGCGCGAGAAGCACAACGGACGTCTTCAAACTTGATGACTGATATGTTTGTGGGGTTTAACGTCCCAAAACCACCTTATGATCATCGGAGACGCACGCCTTCACATTTACACGGATGACTGCTTCTTCAGTAAGCTCAGCAGGGGTGGTGGTTATTCCCGCGAAGCCCATCAGAAATAAATTTAAGACATCGCATTTGTCGTCATCGACCGCTGCAGAACTCACCGTCATATAAACGTGCAGCTCTGCAGTTTATAGTTGCAGAACCTTCAGAAGCTCGGTTTAACTTCTCGGACTTGAAGGCAGCTTTTCAATGTTATAAGTCACCCTTTGGCATGTACCTAATGAAAAGTTAGCAGGCGAAATAAGGCTTCTTCACCATTAAGCAATCGAGAGACAACACAGCATAGCTATCAGTGGTCATTGCGGTATATATTGCAGCGACCACGCAGACGAGGCCGCTAGATCTGCACATGACGGTACGCAATACACACCCATTCCGTTCTCAAGAACCGACGCAGCTACGAGGCTTCGTTCACTAGCACGTGACCTCACATTGGTACAGTGAAACTAGATGAAATTCACAAACGGTCGCGTATAAATAACTTGGATCCCGATCTTAAGATTCGTCTTCCCTCAGGAATATCTCGAGCTGAGAAGACTACTCTCTTCCACTTGTGGCTTGGCATGGCCTCCAAGAACGCATACTTCTTTCTTATTGGAATGACCAGCACCTCTACGTGCAGTTACTGCAACTGCGAAGATATAATTGCCCATCTTTTGTGCGACTGTACATATTTCGACGCACCAAGGCAAGAACTTACCGAAGCTCGAGATCGACTAGATGACCGGCTTTTGTCAGAAAAAAGGACTCTAGGTCATTCACCGAGTCCACCCACAGCTCATAAGGCTTTGAAAGCTTTATTACGTTTTTATTTTTTTTTGCAGTCAGCTGGCTTTACACAGAGTTTAGTGTCATATTTTTTTAATTTTGCCTTTTCTCTTTCAAGATGTTTTGTCTTCTCTCTCTTTTTGTAGCATATCTTTTCTATCATCTTTTGTTCCCCTTCCCTTTTCCTAGCACTGAGTAGCTAGCTAGTCTAGATACTGGCTAACCTCTCTGTCCTCCCGCTCATTTCTTTCCTACTCCTCCTCCTCCTCCTGCTTCCCAAATTTTTCGAGGGTTGCTCTAGCCTGGTTTATCACCTGGCTTGCTTCTGCAGGTGTCGCGTGCTGAATGATATATGCAATAATCGCATATACACAAAAATTATAGCACAGTCAAAGACACACACACATATGTAAAAAAGATTCGTTCGACTTAACGAAACTTAAGGACGGCACGATTAGCAGGATAAAGAGTGTGTTTAACCCCAGATAAGCGCTGCCAATGTATAATCGTGTCGGTTCCCGCGAATTAGAACTGAACTGTGCTCAGTGTACCATCCTCCTCCTGCAAAACTAATATCGTCAGAACGTTTGATGCTTTTCTTCTCTCAATATAGGCCAATGCAATGTACTCATTAGAACTCTTGAAGCTATAGAAGTAATCAAACTGGATTTGTGGAACTCGCGGATTGGAAACCGATATGAATATGAGGCGCGCCATGTAGTTCGCGGGACACATGCTCCAGATTAGGAGTGATCAGCTGGTGTTTTATAAAAACCACTAAAGTATTGTTGCACCAGTGTGTTTTCAATTTTTCACCAATCCGACACTACGATGGTTCGTAAGAGAAATATTGATTAACGTATTGTTCAAAATATTGCCGATGAGACCAATCAATGTTAAGAAGCATTGACGTATACTTAAGGGGTGGCACACCGGGCCCTTGTCCCCTGCCCATGCCCCCCTCAAAATCTCGAAATGATTTTTTTTGCCATGGCAAAGAAAGCAAAAAAGTATGATAACTTCAAGGGAGTGCCCTCCACAAAATCAAGCATGCGCACCCCCCTACCCCCCCCCCCCCCCAAAAAAAAAAAACTTCTGTATCCACACCTGCTAAGAAGAATTGACGAATAAAACGGCTCGTGATTTTGCCTTGTTCAAGTTTTCGATTTTCGGGGCAGTACAACGAAGCATTTTACTTAACGGTAAATATGACTTCATAAGAAACGGGGCGTAATCACCGATCATGTCTGTGAGTTTAACAACTCTGGGGAGAGAGATCTTCTTGTGTTCTGGTGGTCATAATCACGCAAAATGCTTTTCATAATTAAGATGAAGGCCTCGAAAGCCTCATCAAATGCGAAAATTCATCGGAGTTCCATGCCGACATTTCATGTAGGCGGTGTCAACAAGAGTGATGCAAACAAATCATCAAACACGTCACAAAACGCCACAACTTTCGTGGCATCACCTGGTGGCGTCAGCGCGTTGCATCAGTAAAAAAATCAAAGTGGGGCTTACGCAACTTACAATGCAACCGATCCTGAAGGCACTACAAAACCACGTTATAGTTGCAGAACGCTTTCGGAAAGTGGTGTGGTAGTTTCAGAACATTGTCTTGGAAGAAAAAGGTCGCTTTCGAGTCGCTTAAGGTGGAGGACCTCGCGATTTTTAAAATATTTTTCTCCCTTGGTAGTTCGTTTATAATATTTGGAATAGCTACCGCTGCCGCAGTCTACGTTCCCGTGATTTCGCATATAAATGAAACAAAAATAGCCATTCTTTGTGTTTTAGGGGCGAAACTCCTTATAGCGGCACCCGTTTGTCCCTCGTAGCCGTTGTAGTATGTAACAAGTATAACATTTTGACCTCCAAGGTGGTGCCGGTGAAAGATTTCTTCTGTGCGTTGTTGAACAACGAACAATAGTAATCAATGTACATGCCAATGACTGCTAATGGGGAATGAGAGACAGGAGCATTTGGCTTTTAGTTAACGCGCACGCTGCGATCCCCATTAGCAGCCATTGGCATGCACATTGAGCACTGTCTGACAAGAAAAGGTTGCTACGTTATACTCGCTTGGTGTTACCTCCTTAGTTTTAGAAAAGTTTAACGAGCGTTGATCCGCAGTGCCATGAATACAATGAACTAGTATATACCA